CCAATCACAACAAGCCGCAAATACATTCCAGGCACAGCAAGAATACCAATCACAACAAGCCGCAAATACATTCCAGGCACAGCAAGCATACCAATCACAACAAGTCGCAAATACATTCCAGGCACAGCAAGCATACCAATTACAACAAGCCGCAAATGCATTCCAGGTACAGCAAGCAGCAACCGATGGGTTTGGATTTGTTTATCAGCCACAACAAATAGCATCCACATCAAATGGGATCCCTTCAAATGGTACTCCCTTCAATCAGAATCAACCACAACAAATAGCATCCACATCATTTAGTAATGGGATTCCTCAAATCACTGCAAATATTATGGCAGGACGAAAGATAGCGAAGATTCATAAAAAGAAAGCTATCATAAGAGGAACAGAAGCAATGGAAATCGACTCTGAATTCACTGGATTTCAACCACCACAAGTAACAACCAGTCAATCACAGAGAACAACCAGTCAATCACAGAGAACAACCAGTCAATCACAGAGAACAACCAGTCAACCACAGCGAACAACCAGTCAACCACAGCGAACGACCAGTCAACCACAGCGAGCAACCAGTCAACCACAGCGAACAACCAGTCCATCACAGCGAACATCCAGTCAATCACAGCAAACAACCAGTCAACCACAGCGAACAACCAGTCAACCACAGCGAATAACCAGTCCATCACAGCGAACATCCAGTCCATCACAGCGAACATCCAGTCAATCACAGCAAACAACCAGTCAACCACAGCGAACAACCAGTCAATCACAGAGAACAACCAGTAAACCACAGCAAACAACCAGTCAACCACAGCGAGCAACCAGTCAATCACAGCGAGCAACCAGTCAATCACAGCGAACAACCAGTCAACCACAGCAAACAACCAGTAAACCACAGCCAACAACCAGTAAACCACAGCGAACAACCAGTAAACCACAGCCAACAACCAGTAAACCACAGCGAACAACCAGTCAACCACAGCCAACAACCAGTCAACCACAGCAAACAACCAGTCAACCACAGCAAATAGCGTCCACTGCAAATAATGTGGCGGGACGAAAGATTGCTCCATTGCGAAAAAGAAAGTAAAGGAATCATTTACTTACAATTTTTGAGAGTTAAAGAAAACGTTACACTTATTTTTTATAGTTTTGCATAAAATTTTGTATTTATTTTTTTTATCGTATTCATAATATAGAATTTAATTGAAAAAAAAATAAAATTTGTCCCGTATCTTTTGTACGGAAAATTACATTAATCACAGATATGCTTTCCACCAGAGCGACCAATACCATTTCGTACTACGCGATTATTTTTTAAGTGGTGTGCCAACTAACATCCCAGCAATCCATCTTCCCGAAATTCAACACCCTGATAGATCTAGCTCCCCGACTTCCCGAAAAAACTCTGATTCATGTCTAGAAATTGGGTTTGGCGGGAAATTGGGGATTAGTGTTAATCAGCTGATAACACTAGTTGATTATAATTGATATAATGATAAAAATAATTACTTGCTATACATGTTACCGTAATATTATAGTTTTTCTACGTCTGGGTTAACCGAAAAAAGAAAATAAAATATATAATAAAATATGAATTGAATTCAAATCACAAAAATATTTATTCCTAACAACAAAAATAGGTATATTTCCAAAAAATAAAAGAATGTATAACAAATATCAACATCAAATAATCGAATGTTGATTTATCGACCTTATATGGCCAAGGTTGTCACAATTAGTGAAGGAGATTGAAGAAGATAAGTGATATTCGTTATGTAATACAAGAAACGAGATAATAAAAATATAAAGAAAATATAAATATAAATGGAAAAAAATAAATTAAACCAATGTATATAAGTATTATCTTGCGAAATGCATATATAGTCATGTGTAATTGTCCGGAAATTATTCTGCAATATGTGAAAAATTGATTGTCACGTGGGGTATCTGGTTGTCACGACACGTGACTGAATATAAATAAATAAACCGATTAAAATCCAAGTTGTGACCCCAAAATCCAACCTACTAAATTCGGTATTGCACCAAAAATTTATATCCAAGAATATAACATTTGTAAGTGAATGACAATTATCCACAAGCAATAACATCATCGATGCTTTTCCTTTTTTTTTACTTGTCATTTCCTCTGTTGTTTATATTTCCAATTGAACTTTTAACGATTGACTGTTACATATTAATATTTTATTGTTAATTGTAATTTTTAATATTTAATATTTAATATTTATATTAGTTCATCATGACTTTCACCCATGCTATTAGAAGTGCTCAAATCGCCGATTTTGGGACTTACCGACCCAGTAGACGTTAAAAAAATCAAATCAAGGAATTTGTAGAGTACTCCCTTATATGGGTCCAGAGGTGTTAAATGGAAAGCCATATACCAACGCTGCAGATATTTATAGCTTTGGGATAGTTATGTACGAGGTGAACGACCATTTGGTGATCGAAGTCATGATATGCATCTCGTAATAGACATTTATAAAGGAATACGACCTACGATACCAAATAACAACTTAAAATTATCGCGTGGCCAGAAAAGAAGGTGTCGCTCTTGTGGAAATTATATCTGTGATTGATGTAATTTCTCGTTCAAAAAATATCATAATGCAAAAGATGGGACAAATTTTTTTCAATTAAATGCTATACTCTATGGCTAATACACGTTAAAAAATAAATTGAAAAAAAAATAAATGTAACGTTTTCATTAACTCTCAAAGTTGTAATTAATTCCTTTTTCTTTTCTTTTTTACGTGTCGGTGCGATCTTTCGTCCCAGCACATTATTCGTAGTGGTTGATCTACATGATTTCAGGTAGCGAGGTTTGGAGCACCGGTTGAAAAGAAATGCTTGTGAGGGTTGGTTGACATTAAATCTAGATTCATTGGTCGTTGCTGGTTGGAAAACAATAATCCAGATTCGTTGGTATTATGCTTGGAAAGGTTTACATAATTAAATTTCAGGTTCTTTGCCTTTGGTTTCCACTGCTGCTGTTCCTGTACTAATAATTTTTCGTTTTCTTTTACGCATCGGTGCTATCTTTCGTTCCGCCACATTTATTCGCAGTGGTTGAAACTAATAATGCATTATTTCTGGTAGCAAGGTTTGGATTCTGATCGAATGTTGTCAAGGGAGTACCAGTTAAAGGAATCTCCATTACCAAATGATGTGGATGCTAATTTTATATGAATTTAATGTCTACCCACTACTGCACTACAACAATCAGTAACAAACGAATTTGGATTAATGTATACCATCAACTGCTTGTTGTGGCTGATAGATGTTGATAAACATCGTCCAACCACAGCAAGCAGTTGTTGTATACATTAAATCCAGATTCGTTGGTTGCTGCTTGCTGTGGTTGGTATGATTAAAATATAGCTTCATCTATTTCCATTTGTGATTCAGGTGTATTTATTACATTACTAGCAATTGTTTTAGATATCAAAGATGAAGCTATAACAGTTTGTTCACCGGCAGCTTCTCCACCAGCCGCGTCTGAAGGCGTTATAATTATTCTCATTATTCGAGCCGTCGTGGAGATTATTATTTCCTTATCATTTTCTTCATCTGAATAAATATTTGCACTACTACTACTACACGTTGATCACTTTCTTTAGTAGTCTTATTCTCCTCCTCCTCCAAGTGATTTAATTTCTTAGATTTTGTAGGTCTCTCAGCTTCTGTGATAATGGAATTATCTTCAACTTTAGAAGTTTCAATTTTATCGTAAGACCTCTTTTCTTGAGCTTGAACAATCTTATCTTTCTTACGAGATAACGTAGCCTTGGCATCCGAAACCGTATCGGGAGCCCAGGAGAAGGTTGAGGAGTTTTTTGTGGTGTTAATCTCCCTGCGTAATAACGAATCTTGGCAATGGAATCATCCTTTGGAGGTTCGAGAGCTCTATGCTTTACTCTGTAAGTTAGACTTTGGTTTTATTAAACTTCATCTTCACTTTTTTAGGTAGTAATTTTTTCGTGCTTGGATTTGTTACTTGATCCATCAATCATTACTTCAGAATATTTTGATGATGACGGATCAATTTCTTTTTTCTTTACCTTTTTCTTTCTTTTGTCTCTTTAATTTCCTTATTCATATTAGCAATATGCTTCCTTGATCCATCAAACATTACTTCAGAATACTTTGATTTCTTTACCTTTCCTTTTTCTGCGTTTCCATTTAAATCACTTCTCCTCCATGTTAATAGTAATGTTAATGCTTGTGTTGATGTGCTATCCGTTGATGTTTGTGTATTCACACATAGTGATTGGTTGTCTTGAAGCACCAACTATGCGATATAATCTACTAAATTGCACCTCTTATAATGCATTTTTTATTGTATATTGTTTATTGTTATTTTTAAAAAGAACTTACATCGATATGCTGATGAATGTGCTGAATAGGTCCTATGTCACCGCTACCGAAGTTACCATCTGTTCCCAGTATATTCGATCTTTCACTTTTATCATTTACAACGGTCTTGTAAGCTTGACCAACACCGTTAAATATAGTGAGTATAATAATAATACAAGCTAAAAGAGTTATTATTCTTTATTTAGTTTTTTTGATAATGTGAGAATTTAATAAATACAAGCTTTCATCAGTATATGTAGTATAATATCGTGATTTAGTTTTGTAATACAATGTTAATAATATTATAAACTATTTATAAACTCCTTTCATTTGACAACCATATGAGAAAATTTTATCAGTAAACCTCTGTATAATAATAACCCTGCAATCACTTGTAATGTGTAATTGGTGTATGTAAGAACCTGTAATATAATATCCCCCATAATTATATATATCTTTAATAAAATGAACTTGTACCTTGTAATTCGTAATAATCTGGAATCAAAAATTAATGACCTGTAATTTTTTCGAAATAATAAAAATCACGTGATATCAAGATTTTCTATTCATTTTGTTCTTTGTCAATGCCTTTTTTACTATCATTTTCACTAGAGAATTTATCACACTGTTATCACAAAAAACAAATCTGTGTTTGGGATTTACCCACCATTTCCGAAATTCCAACATCCTGAATCTAATATCCTGACAATTTAACTTTCTGACAGTCTAACTTTCTGACAATCCAACTTTCCCGACAAATCCAAACGGAAGTTGGATTTTCGGGAAGTTAGACTGTCAGAAAGTTAAACTGTCAGGATGTTAGATTGTCGGAAAGTTGGATTTCGGGAAGTTGGTTGTTGAGATGTTGAATTGTCTGAATGTTGGATTGTTGGGATTTTAGGTTATTGGGAAGTTGAGTTGTCGCGAGACTATACTAACGGGATTGTGTTTGGATCACGTAATGATGGTGATGGGTGGTGGTGGCGATGGTGGTGGTGATGGTGGTGGTGGTAGTGGTGGTAGTGGTGATAATAATGATAATGATGCTGGTGACGATGGCGGCGATAGTGATATAATAGTAAAAAATATATAAAACCCTATAAGAATATTCGAGTAAATATAGGTTATAATCCGGGTTTTACACCTGTAATCCATCGTAATTTGTAACGGATTACAGAGATTTTTCAGGGTTTTTTTCCATGTAAAAAATCAAGTGTTTGCAGTGATTATTACATACAATTACACTCTTATTTTCAGGTGTTTTCAGGGTATTTTTCTCACAGGACAACTGCTGCTCCAAAGACTTTCTTTTCATCTCGAATATGAAGAAAGTGAAAACAAATCCGAACATCATGAACACAACACAGCCCATGAGTTTATCAATTTTCCGAGTATTCGGTGTTATCTGTAGTCGTATTACCACCAGTATTCTTCATTTTGTGAAAGGCGACTTGGGCAAAGTTTTCCGACTGCTGCGGATATTCCGTAACATGTCGACCGATATCTTAGTTAAAAAACAATGATCAAATCATTTTCGAGTAGAAAGATTCCATAAATTTAAATTATTAACTCGCCGGAAAAACTTCATCAGGAACGACAAAGGTAGTAGTATTCGGCCCAAAATTAAGAAAGAACTATATAAATGGGAAATAAGAAAATACATCCTAAGCAAAAAAGTAAATAAAATCGAAAAGACTTGAGAAATAAATTACCTGCGCTAGAGTAAATATTACACCAAACAATTAAACCGAGGTATCTTTTATTTTATGAAATGTCGCTCCAAATACAATATCAATGCCGCAAATCCCATAAACTGAATCGGTCCTCGACCCCATCGATCAATGAAATACACGCTAACCCAATATCCAGGTTTTGAACCCAAAAGCTTAATAATTAGATTCCCAAGCGAGGCATGAAACAACAGTCAAATGTACTATTATGCTTATTAATACTTGTGCCTGGTAAACTTTCGTATCCTAACGCGTCATGAAGAAATATCGTGTGTTTAATCCAATTCTATAATACGCCACATCTATACAAAACCACGCGCCACAAGGTGCCTAATAAGATTTTTGCATTTTTCCAATTGGAGAAAATTGTTTGAAATCCCCTACGAGCTACGTGGCAGTTCGTTTAGGTCACCTCTGTATTGTTCAACCTCGATTCTGTATCGTGGTGTTTTCTGGAATGGTGAGACAAAAATCGAATGCAAAGATCCCTGGTATTGAACCCAATCCTAATATTATTCGCCAAATTAATCTACACTGTGAACATTTTTGTGTCCATATATGTCATTTTTTGCCGCGTCGAGTGTTATCACTGCGACGAAAATTGAAGCAAATCCCTGCATTGCAAATACGGCTGCCATCATTGACCCTCGCCAATTTTTGCTGCTAATTCGCTAACGAGGACTTTGTTGGATTAATTTTTTTTGTTTGGAATATGTTCATTTATACTTATGGTCTGGTGCAAAAAGATTGGTACATCAGATAAATATTAATAGATGATTTTTTCAAAATAAAATTTTTAATTCTGTCTCATTTAATTAAGTTATTAGATATTGGAATTTATTTAAATGTAAAAATTTTTATTATATATCTTTTATAAAAAAATTTTACTAATAATAAACTTTTTTGAATTATTATTCTTAAATTTTACTATATAAAATTTGATTAAAATTAATATAAAAATTATATAATAAATAATTTAATTACTAAACTTTGAACCTTAATATCTTTATAACTACTGATTCAATTTTTATGAAATTTAGTACATATATTTATCAAATTTAGGGCAACCTGCTTGTGTAATTTAAAGTTCTAATATTGCAAAATGATAATGATAATAGTTAAAATGTCTTTACTAAAAAAACTAAAATAAAATTATTTTTTTTAAAAAAAAGTAATGCTTCATTTATTATTAAATTAAAATAATTAAAATAGTATGAAAGTTAATTAGATAATTTTTTATTTAATATAAAAAAATCATAAAGATTAGTTGAAATTTTATTATCATACCAATCTTTTTGCACCGGACCATACTAGCATATAATGGGTAATTAATTATCTCCCACACCAAGAATTAACCCGAGCACATTCAAGTATGGGCCCGTTCCACTTAAAGCTGTGCCAATTAACGTTAATATAAAAAACAAATAGATAGGAAATTTAAGACGATCCGCAAGTATTCCGAAAAAAATTTGTTCAACCAGTGTTTCAACTGCAGCGGGAACTTTTAACCCAATTTCTATATTATGCGGGAGAACGCTATCACCTATGCATACATCTCTGTTATCTAATTAATGGCGAATAAATCATAGGCATCCGTAAAGAATCCGACACCTTCAGATTGAAAGTAAAAGTGAAAAATGAAGTTTTTGCTTATATCGTTTAACGTTTCTTACTAGCCATCACACATATTCGTACATGAGACTAGTTAAAGTATGCATTATTTAATTCGTAATGACCAAATAAATGCCTTTCTATTTAGTTTCGCTAAATTGGTTCTGGCTTCGTGCTTTTCTAGTGCTGTCGTTGAAACCTAACTGATGCATGTAATGTGAAGTTTGAACCTGACGATACATGTAAAAAACGCAGATCTGTAGGTACGACTAACGCTAATCCTTTTAAAATTACAATTCATGCAATGAACATTACATTAAACTTCTTTTTTCCGTTTTGAATGTTACCTATCGCTATGAATTTTACTATAATTATCTAAAAATCTGAGCCAAACAAAACAACGAGAATGAACCTATTAAATATCCACGTTTTGGAAATAGACCTCCGAAAGCCAGATTTATTCCAGAAAGTTTCTACAGGAACCTGAGGTTACGACAGGTTAATGCTAAGCAACTACATGTACATGTATATGTATTTGAAATTGTACACTTGTTCACTTTTTTTCTTTACGGCGTGAGTATGATTTTTTGAAGCTAAAATCTAAAAAAAAAAACTTGCCAATATTTTCTTTGTCTCGTATTGTGTGACGAAACAGCAAATAAACCTGCAGATTTATATTTCGGAGCACATATTGATATCGCGTAGTTGCATACAGTATGTACTAAACAAAGTAAAAAAACATTTAAACATAATTTGTGTTCATTGTGATCAAATTCTCTTAACCCCATCATCCACTTTCACCTTTTTTGCATCAAAGTTGAATTTGTACGACCAGTAACGACTCCTCAGAAAGTTTAATAATTTAGGATGCGCAGAGACTCCAAGCGAATTACTATTATAATCATCGGTGAATGACAAACCCGTAACCACTTGTCACCAGCTACGTTTTTCTCGTGCAGATTTAATTATGATATTGTTCGCATTGTACCGGTTGTACTCCATCCAGTCCATCTCTCAGATAATTTGAGTGCTTTCATTGGTAGAATTTTCCAAAAGAACAAGTATCACGAATAAACACTAAATGGGCTGGAGAAATGAGACAGAAATCGAAATGGGAAAATCATCACCATACAAAAAGGGAAAAAGTTGGTATAGAAAAGTATGACAAAAAAATAATTATTCTTTTTTCGAATCATTACCATTATAGTGTTATAACTTGAATGTTCAGATGTTTTATTCTATTCATTTAATTAAAACACGTTGTGACATATTGTATTGCAAAAAAAAGAATTAAACTGAGGTATGTTTCTTTAAATCTCGACGCTAGATAAGCAAATAAAAATAGTCCTCAAAGAGAAGAGAAAACTTCTTCATTCTCTTTTAGGTAAAAAGATGCAGAATAATAAAACTCTAATGACTTCTTGAAAGCAGTATGTCAGCGATAAGCTTCTCTGATAAGAAACTTTTGTTCCCTCTTTCACGTACTCTTTATTGGTATCCAATTCTGCTTTCATATTCACAAGAAGTCATGAAGAACTGTTTCAACAGTGCCAAAACAAACCTTTCAAAACAATACTGATAATTTCTTCAATGCAAGGATGGGATCAAAGAATACGTGCAAAGGAAAGCTGTGCGATCAAGTGAGATTCTTATAGGTCTTAACATATGATATATTAACAACCTATCTATTGCAATTCGAGGTAAACTTAAAGATAAAGAAGTAGGCCATTCCTGTTTTTTTACTAAACTGAGATCTGATCCAGAATATTTGTAAAATTATCTCCAGCTTGAGCAAGAGCTCTTTATATAATTAGGTTCCTAGATATAAAGTCCTTCCTGGATTATAGTTGCTTCTATGATAGAGTGAGTGTCTTTTACCTCCGGGAGATGAAAATTCCATTTGTTCTAGGAGAACATTAATTTATTCCAAATTTTTCACTCCCATGAACAAAGTTTCATCACTAGTTACCATCTTTGCAAGCAAACTTATATCTTCATCAATAAAACAAAATATAGATTTCTGCATCATTTCCAAGTTATTATTAGACATTGATACAGAAATCATAGAAATCAAAGTACTCGTTTTAAAAATTTGTTGAATGAAAGGTGTTGAATATGGGATATCCATTATTGTCATGTAATTTACAGATATTCAGAATGTTGATTTTCTTTGGTTCCTAGCTGCCACAAAAGTTGTGTTGTACCAGAGCTAGAGCTTTGAATGATTTTTAATTAAAGAGAATACATTTTTTTTTATTGTACCATTTGTTTATAAAAGATGTACAAATTGTATCTTGATATTGTACTTGACAAAATGTGTCTTCCACAAGCTTTACAGAACTCAATATTGCTCAATAGAATAATTTGAGAACCGGCTGTTTAGTAATACAGAGGATCACAACAGTTTTTTCGCATATTCTTACTTTCTTTTGTCATTCTTATTATTTGATTGTGATGAGGAACATGTCAGAAGCTGTATATTTTAAGGTTTTCAAATGCAGGCATACATAATACATGCTCTAATGCATCATTCTTTTGATTGTGTCTTCAATAACAGATTTCAATCAGCAACGTACAAAATTCTGAAGAACACAATCCTGAATATTCATAAGCCCAACAAACGAAAACCCCATCCCAAATGAACTAAATCCAACATCACAAATAATCGAGAACGCAGTCATGTGATCATATAATTTCGATTAGTGTAGGTTAAGGTTATATATTGTTTTTTGTTAGAATACAAAAGGGGTTGGATTTTTTCATTACACATTGTTCTCGCGATTAATTTACCCCTTAAAACCCACCTGATTGTGCCCTTCGATTATTTCAAAATCCCCAATGAATGATGACATCTGGATCGAAATCCTGAAAGTATAGCATCCAAAATGTATAGAATAATAAAAGTATCACTCTTACAGAATTCCATGCATTTTGGAATTCATTCTTGATTTCGATCATACGGGATATCATTCTCTCAAAATTCTGATTATTTAGAATGCCATTCTTTTGGTATTTCGTTTGTCGGACTTATGAACGTTTGGGATTGTGTTCATCAGGATTTCGTAACAGATCTAATTTCAATTAATCTTTGATTACATCTTTTCAGATCATTCAAATATTATTCCTCCAATTCATCTCATCTAAAAGAGCATGTTGTCCACTATAATAGATTCGTATTTTGTTTGATAATGTTTTAATGAAAAAATATAGAACATCAGAAAGTTTTGGAATCATGTACATCGCCGACATTGGACATTCGTCAAATATTCGTTAGGGATCTATCCAACATCTCGACAATTCATCTTCCCGACATCCTAACATCCCAAAATATCAAACTTCTCGCCAAACCAGTTTCCAGATATAAATCAGAAATTGACCTAGTTTTTTTTGTGAAGTTGGAAAGTTGGGTTTATCAAGGTGTTGAATTACGGAATTTTGGTGACACCCATCCGCTATATATTTGGATTACCTTGCAAATTAGGATTAGGATTAGTGTCAGAATAAAAATATTAGCGGAGAGATAATCATATCATATGATACAATAAACAAAGAGGTCCTTTAAAAGTCAGGTAATTTCACGTGACATATATTCGATCCGGAATGTCATCATCTCTATTTAATTTAATTCGTATTATTATATGATGTTTAAATAATCTAAGCATTGGCTTACATGTGATGCACATCGTTTTCTTGACAAGCAAGCATTTTTTTCTCAACAGATAAAATAAAACTCATGTATTCGATATCGTTGAAGTATATGACACAGCGCAGACAAGAATAAAAAAACAAACCTATTTTTTTTAGCTTCCTTTTCCTTCAACTCTTTCAAGGCGGCCCTAAAGAACGCAGGTTTCTCTTCATCCGGGATGGAAGCAAGAGCCAACTCCACTTATTTATTTGAGTAACATTAGGCAAGTTTAGAACCATCTTACTTTTACCAAATTTTGTATTGAAGATAATAAAAATCATTAATATGTAATTAGACAGTATATTCAAAATTCAAAACAGCATTACTAGCCTAAATACTGTAATAAAGTACTGTTTTACTAATACTAATTGCTGACCGAACCGAACTATCGCGGTATTTCGAAAAATCAAATTTAACAGTGGTTTGGATAATGCGAGTATGTTCCGCTTATAAACATTTGAAATGACTTGATATATTAAAATTTTTTGAATGCAAAGTAAATATTAAAAAAACTGTATCTGAAACAATTATTAAGCTTCCTTGAACATACATCTTATTTTTTATTTACTAAACGTAAACAATAATTAGATATGTCAACAATAAACAATAAGAATTTGGTATGTCTAATCCATGCACGCTTGCATGTTTTAATTATGTTCTTAACAGGTTAATTAATTTCATATGGTGATAGAATAATAAGAATTTGATATGTCTAATCTATTACAGACGATGCACGCTTAAATGTTTGATTACAGAATTGAATAGAGATTTAATTATGTTCTAAAAAGGTAATTAATCTCATACGGTGTAGAATAATTACAAAAGGTTAAGTTAGTTTGTACAATTAAATTATTAGAATATCTACAAATGTTCGGTGAATTAAATGAATTATAAATTCTATATTTAATGGTGATGGAAAATTTTAAGAAGAGTTTTATCGATAGAATGCACGCGTCCCAAATTTTTTGCTTGCAGAAACAGCAACTTTAAGCTCTTATGAGTATCAGCATTCGTCCCTATACCATTCAAATATGCATTTGCTAAAGCACGCTTTCCTAATTCGTCACCCATCTCCGCACTTTTAGAGTACCAATAAAGTGCATGTCTATCATTTTTCTTTACGTGAATTCCAAACCGATAACAGATTCCGAGGTTATGTTTAGCACTGCTACAATTATTATCCAACGCTTTTTGATACCAATAGAAAGCTTTCTCATGACTCATTTCGGTCCCATAACCATTCAGAAATTTATCTCCAACTTGATTTTGACCCAATGAGTCATTGTGTTCAGCAGCTCGTAGATACCATATGAATGCTTGTTGTGGGTCGCTTATAGTTCCGAATGATTCCTCATAAAAAAAGCCCAGTAAACATGCGTAATCGTAATTTCTGTAAGCGACTCGTTCTAGGTGCTCAAAGACTTGAGTTTCGGTGAATTCTTTGTGTTGAGAAAACCAATGTTGAACACATTTTAATAAGTGTTCATTTTTTCCACCAGGTTGTGTGATTGAAGAGAATTGCTGTAAAAGCTCTTTCAGAGCATTTTCAACGTCATTCTTTTCGCTCAAATTTGCCTCGTTGTTTTTAATAATATTATTATTATTCATGTTCTGTTCTGTTCTGTTAGTGTGTTTTAAAATATCTAAACCAAAATCTACACGCTGCTTAAATATTAAATTTCTCATTTATCAAATGACCTACCTATTATTGGTTATTTGAATTTCAGGCCATTTGCGACCAAATGACATCATATAGAATATAATATTAACAATCATGGGTATTGTATATGCATATGTATTTCATGTAATACCTTATATACATGCGGTGTTCGGTCGAAACAAGTTTTAGCCAATTGATCTACGCAGTGTTTCCAAATTACGTATAATGATATTTTCATTCTAAATATTATTAATGCTATCAATAATGAAAGTTGCAAAAAGAGTAATCATCAGGAGGTCTATAAGTACATTGGATATTTTCATGTTGAAATAATCAAACTCAAATATTACCTTTTCAAAATTCGGTTTAAATAAAACGAAAAATCTCAATAAAGTATTGGCGCAATGTTTTTAAATATTATGTCATCCCCATCATGGCATCTCTAATAATATTGTTTCTTATGCGACGAAATTAGTTTTTTGAGAAATCTTCGGAACTGGTTATTCTGTAGCTAAATGTGTACATAATTAGTATGGCCGAATTATACATGTATGTACATGTACGCATATACGTGTACTCCGCGCATAGTCACCAACAGATAAAAATGCCCAATTAAGGCAATTGCGCACTTCGTGGGGTTCGAGAGTATAAATAATAGTTAACTTGCATGCAATACAAAGAAAAATCAGCAACAAGTTGCCATGGGAATGCATAAAACGATGTTGATCCAATTACACAAGCATGACGATTCCCAACATCATTAACGTACTGGTCAGTTTTCGCATATATTCATAATGATAATAA